TACGTAAACATGTTTCTTTGGGAATTGTTTGTTCTTATTTTCATTGGCACATTTTTGACAGATAATGTCAGTACGCTTATGTTGATGAGCGTCATGAAAAGCGACGTACATAGGTATAAGTTCACGTGAGCATATTAAACATCTGAGAAACGTTGGTACTTCATAACGACACTCTTCATAAGGATACTTAACACAAGCTCTAAAGCAATTGCAAGGACCACTTATCCAGCGATATCTCATATCAGCCATAAGTTCATCAAAATATTCTTGTCTAGACATGAAATCACCGACAACTTCTGCGGCATTTACATCTCTTTGACGTTGTACAGTAACTTGGTTTTGAACACAATTTGATTGTTGCTGTCTTAATTCATTCATTAATATTTGAACTTGATGAGATAATGCTACGATCTCATTTCGTAAATCTGCTACAACCGGTCGAATTGTCACCAATGGACATGCAACCGAATGTTGAGCTTCTTCGCTGCGTTTGCCTACCCATGTACACTTTAAATCAGCAGCTTGACATTTGACTCTTACTTCGGAACATCGATTATTATGGTCATCAAAATTACCTCGTTCAATATTATTTCTATTACAATATAAACAGCGAATAAGAAGACGATCGAGTTGATTTAAAACGAGTCGAGTTGATTTAAAACGATTCGAGTTGTAAGTGGTTGAAATGCTGTTCGTTCTCGACAACTAGGACATGTTGAATTCTGCTTGAACCAATTGTCGATACATTCCTGACAAAATGTATGTCCACATTTTGTTCCAATCTTAGGTCTAACAAAGGCTTGTTGACATATTGAACATTTTAATTCTGAATCAATTTGATCTTCATTTACATAAATATAGTCGGTGTTGCTTTTCACAACACATCTTTGACGGGCGGCCATGTTTTTTACTTTGTATTTCTACTATATCAATAATACTTTGTTTCTTCTCTTTATATACAGAAGAAAAGTTGGAATTTTCTTACAAAAAAGCAATTTCTTTCTTTGTTCTGTTTTTGTAACAGTAAAATTCTATAATATAAGAAAGACAAAGGATACCTTCGAGCAGAATACAACATTTTCTTGAGCGGATTC